AAACTTCGTCTTCTTTATGAATGTAGTAGAATGCAAATGGACTCAGTTTTCCTTCCAATGCTGGAGATAGCGGAGGTAAGGTGCTTCCACATGGATTGGAAGAGAACGTTGGGTAGGAGGTTGAAGTAGGACCTTGTTTCCTGTTGGATTGAATCACTAACAGCTGCGCTGTCCCTGCGAAATCCTTAGTTCTCTTTCATTAATGAGCTAATGGTTTTTGCATTCGACAATACATTCGGACCAGACGTCAACGGTCAGTTGGCATTCGACGATGTTCCCTGGTGCAATCCAAATCGGTGCACACACCATCGCATAGCGACCGATGCGATTAGGCCTTTAACTGAAAGTTCTGTGGCTGCGCGGTAATCGAGTGATAGGCGCAACTGGTCTTATGAGCTAATCGATGCGGGTGACTAATGCTGTCGCAAATACTTTCCTTAGTTCTAGCATTTTTTGCTAAGAAGAATACGAAAATGAACTTTCAGAGCACAGTGGCCAGAGGTGTCTTGCAATACACACTTCGTTGTTAGTTCGATCTCACGTTTTTGGCAAGCTAGGCTTTCCATCTCTCCGGAATACCAGGTGGCAGAAATTCACTTTATATCCTACGATCCTTCTGAAGCAGTCAACGTAAGAGCAGTTCTCAGAGAGTGTTTGGCCTGGTTGTGCATTTGCGTTATTTAGAAGAAAACTTTCCATCTGGAGTCACCAATGTGGTGTTCCATTTGTTGGCACCAATTATTTCATCTAATAAAGTAATTTGTAACCAATGCAAAAAATTAGTACTTAAATATTTTCTTGTACACTATGAAGCACTTATAAACCATCTCTTGCGCCATTCATTATAATTCACCACAAATCGTTTTCACCATAACCCATATATTTTAACAGGGGTTAACCAAAATAGGGACCTAACTTAAACGGGTACTTTAAATAAGGCATAAATGTTTTAACTGCGATACAACTTTGTTAATAAAAATAAGGATCGCTGTAATCCGTACATTCTTTGCAAGTAGGAGAGAAATGTGTTTGTTTCGATTTGGGTTCAGAATTCTGAAGTTCACGACACGATTAACGGCTTAAGGACTACCAGTAGGAATCCGTAAGATTTCCCAAGATAATGAGTTGCCGACATGTGTGAGAGAGTGATAGTCCGCTGGCGAGGAAGTCCATGAATTTCAGCGACGACGGGCACTGTTGCCCAACTCCTGCAGCTTCTGCATCGTGTATGCAACTTGTTCAGGAGTATTGTTGTATAAGAATGGAATTTTTCTGGACAATCGACTTTCCAGCCACGTCATTTAACCGTCACTGGTGTCGAGAATTCATCAAGCTTTTTCATTTTTCCCATGTCTTTCACATGGAGTACGATCATTTAATTTACGACTAAAAGTATATACTGTAGAGAAAGTTCATTCTTATCGCATGAGAACACTCTATGGTACGTTCCAACAATATCGTTCCAGAATTTGCCTTTTTCTCGGCCCATTTTTTACCCTAACGGTGCTATCAGCAATCACCCGTCAACAGGTCTGATGTGGGGAGCACAAATCGGCATTAAACTCAATTTACGTTTATCTAGTTCGAAAGCTAGATCAAACTAGCTCAATAGTCCAAAAATGTAGTGAGTTTTATTTGCTGCGTATTATGTTTTCACGGTAGGGTGTTATGTGAAATAGAACCGCAACGATGCTGAAATACTTGCAAAATTCGAGCTTCAGAGTAGCTTCACCTAAACTGGGTTCAATGTTGAGTTGTGCTCACTAGATCTTTGCCGTGGGTGGGTGGCTGCTGATAACACCGAGAGGATGAAACGCCGACTGGCTGAGAGAAAGGCATAGCGAGGGTCTCAATGGTGTAGTGGGTAGCACGTGATCCCCAGATAGAGTAATTTCAGATGATACCCTACCTCAGAAAAACAATAGGTAGTAAATAGTTAAATATCACTGCAGAATTTCAAAAAAGTTTAGCAGCAAAACGTCCCTGCATCCTACCCTGTTCAACGAACCGACGAGGTTCTCACCTTTGCATTAGATCGCGGTGCCACACTCATGAGCACCGCCGACCTCAGCTTGGCAATGAATCACTTTTGAGTGTATCGAGTACAATGCTATGGATGCGAAAACTTTGGTTGCTTTCGTCTTCAAAGCATATTTCAGTTGATATTGAAGTTTACTAATTTGAATAAACCCCACTTCGATCTACATATCTTTGCCTACTAGTTGAAGGCTTTCTTATAAAAGATGAAATTCTGATTTTCTGGAGCCACGACATATATTTCTCCCCACCTTTTTTTGAACGAATAGACACTTTTTGAGCAGGAAAGTAGATCGATGAGAGAAATGTCGCCCGGTAGGAGACGACTGTGTTCTCGATGTATCGCTTGTACTTCTCTGTGGGAAACTTGTATTGGAAGTGTTGGAACTCTTAGTTTCGTGCTCAGTTTTTTGAAGATGCCAATTCCAGAGTTTCGATTTAAAATAATTTTGTAAAAAGTTATATTATTGCTTGAAGCATGGAACTGAGTCGCCCGCGCTGAGATCGAACGTAGGAGCTCTGACAGAAAGGGCAAGTTCCTATTTTTGAGTAGCCGGTTGTTTAAGGAATTTATCGCAATTCGTAGAAAAGACAAGTAACGTAATTTGACTCAGCACAAAACTTCCCTTTCTTTTTATCTCTTGGGGACGGTGCTTTACAGTTGAAGGTGTCATTTAATCACTATTTCCATTTCTTCAGAGTTATTCAGATAACTCTGCAGGAAAGTATGACTTGTCTTATATTTCGCATCTCTAGGATACTTTACAAGATAAAATAAAATTAAAAGCATTTCGAAAACATCATGTTATTTTACTTTCGGAAAGGATAGAACCTGTGGCGTATCCAAAAAAAAGATATGTAGTCCACAGAAAAAGGTAGACGATGTCAGGCATCAAAAGTAGAATATAAAGTAAAAGTTTGTTTTTCTGAATGTAGCTTTATCAGCTTTATCTCGACGGTACTTTGACGACCGCGACCAACGACCGACACCAGACGATTTGGTTGGTCGCACAAATGCTTGCTGTTGACCATTCAGCCGTTTGAAGATCATTATGACAGTTCAGGACCATCATCAGAACCATGGCTGTGTGGGTGATCTGTAACGAGAACACCGGAACACCCATACACGCTCGACAAAAGAACTTCTGGAACTTCTGGGACTTTACAGAGAAATTTTTCATTTACCCAACTAGCCAATCAGGCCTTCTACGCATTTTTGATTGCCATTTAATGAGATCTCTGCAGGACACTCAAGGCGGTATTAATTACAATTCTTTAGAGGTAAGAAAAATTTATCTGAATAGACTCTTTGCACAGAAACCCCAGAAATGCGATAACGGGATGGTTGTACACTTAATGTGAAGATGACCGAAGCTCAAAGAAAACGCTCTGTACATCGTTTACTAATTAAATTAGATAAACCGTGACTCTGTGAAAATCATCGCATACAACGATGAAGCTTGTGAGAATCGTTGTCGGTTGTTCCAATCGTCATTGAACACCTGCACCGGTTTGACGCACGAAATGTCGAAAATGATCTCAGAATCAATAGAAGTATTTCGATGAGGAGCAAAGGAATGACAACGACTGGACGAAGTTCCTTTGCGAATACTGTGGATGTGACCAACTTACGGAACTGAATTGAAGCTTCGCATTGGCCAGCAATAGGATGGATTTATTTATTTTTATATGTTCTTATGAACTGATCTTGTTGACCTGACGCGAGGTTGGTATAAGTTGTCGTTGTTGCTGTTGTTGTCGGCTGATGGCTGACGTTTCGGCGATTGATTTCAGGTTCCTCAGAGTGGGACGTGTTTCATATAACAATGACCTTATAATGTTTAACGTTTTGTTTTCTGCCTTCTATAATTTTCATGGCAGGTTACTAAGCGAAATACAACCACAACGTTGCTGAGATATTTGCAAAACGCTGGACCGCAGGTGTCTATGGTGGGGAACGAACGCGTTCTTGTCCTTTCCGGGGAGTAACGCGTTCACCACCACACCATGCGGGTCCTTTGCTTCGCCTGTCTCTCAGCTATTTCTAAACTACAGCCACAGCTTAACTGGGTTCTATGCCGATTTGTGCTCCCCAGATCAACCCCGCTGACGGGTGATTGCTGTGGCAAAAAGATCGATAGAAATAACTGAGAGACAGACGAAACAAAGGACCCGCATGGTGTGGTGATGAACGCGTTACTCCCCGGAAAGGATAATGACCTCATAATTCGGCGAAACATCTATAGTATTAATGGGGATCTAACATTTAATTAAACGCCATATGGATCAAAAAAATATTCGCCGTGCTGTTACGAGCGGGACCGCCCGCCTGTTGTTCACGTGGGATGACAAGAGGGACCAACACACGTCAAAAACATTTCGAAATAAGGCACCAGGTCATTTATATGACAGTGAGGAATTCGTCCTTCCGGTTTCTTTCCGAGAGGAAGGCGAAATCGCCGAAACGTCAGCCATCGACCAACAACAACAACAACAACAACCACTACAACTACAACTACAACTACAACCACGACTACAACGACAACAACAACAAAAAAACAATAAACTTATACCGACCTCGCATCAGCTCAGCGAGATCAGTCCATAAGAACATATAAATAAATATTTCGAATATTTATGCCAAGGTTTATAGAAAGTCTGTCTTTTGAATTAATAAGATAAATTGTTAAGACCCAGCCCATAGATTGACACTAAAAAATAATCCCGACTCGGTTATTTATCACAGTTGTTTTCTATGTCGTTTAATCGATTCCCATCCTTATTTTTTCGCGCTTTCGTCCATTTGTCTACCAAGCAGAATCTACATAAAGTTCTGCTAGTCAGCGACTTTTGCTCCTTTTCAAATTGCTTTCTCGAAAATCGTGCGATTCTCGATCTGTTCCGATTTCAAACGATGAAAATCCGTTATACTATTTGGAAATATTTGGCTTTGCCAGTCACGAATGATGAAGTGGTTCGAGTACGAATCAGGACAAGCATGGTGCGAAAGCGCCTACAAGTACCAGACACTAGCGATGGTCGCCGAATTCGCGAACACGGTACTTTCTCTAAGAGATTCGTTTATATGCTTCATCTACGATTAGCTGAGAAAGTTGGATAATTGTTTATACTTGTTTGTTGTTTGATTGCACGTTCATCTGAAATGATCAGCAATTTAAGACAACTAGAAGTAGATTTTTATCCTTTATTGCAAAGATTTGGCACCTAATTCCCAGAATCAACTTTCTAATAGTTTCGGCGTTGATCAGCAAGTTAATATTTTCCTGATGAACAGACGCGAAACTGTTAATACAAGGTTTATCCAACATTGGCTAACGTTTCGGCTGTGTGGCCTCCTTAAGAGCCTTGTAAGCTCAAGCCGATAAGCATTATACTCATTGAAATAATTTCATAACCCCAGCATAAAAAACTCGACTCCTAGGCTTCAATAGCAGAGGAAGCAGCAAATACTCACCATCGGTTGCCCTTTATATGCTCCGAAAAGGAGGAAAAGGCGAAACGTTAGTGATTGCTGGATAAAATTTGCATTAACAACCTCTTGTCTAGTAAGAAAAGTTTCCAACAATTCGAGCTCTCCATCCCTCCGTGGTCAGCAAATTGGTACCAGACTTGTCTGGGAGGATAGCAGCGCTGGCTCGATATATCGGTAAGCCACCGCGAATCACTGTATGGGCCAAATATGCATTCAGTCACTCCAGTGATGCTTAATGAAGTCGAATGCATGGCGTATTCCTCAGGGATTGATCAACGCCGAGAGCTTCATTCTTTATACTTTTTAAAATTTCACGACTTTACCGAATAATAGTACTGTTGATCTATCCACAATATCCGATGGTTTAGCATATATAAGCAGCGACTTTTCAATAGGCTAGCGTCCCATGAAAATTTTGTTTTCACTCAGTCAGAGAATTTTACGACGAATTCTCTTCCGACTACAAAAGGCCACTCATTTTTGGATACTGAATGACCGAGTAGCCGTCGCTACTAGCAAAAATATTTGGTAGGATTTGTTTCGTGTTCAGATGACGAACCTGCCGATCGTCGTACTACCGATGCTGAACGCTATGATGCTGCGCAACTACATCCGAGAGGTGAATTCTTCGGTGGTGATGTTTTTTGCGCCAGTCCTTGAAGTCTCCATGCCGGAGACTTCGTCGCATATCTGTGTTTTCTTTGCTCCATAGGAGTACTACTATGTGATTGTTACAAAGCCGAGTTAAACATACCTGCTTTGCTAGGAAATACTGAAAAAAAATTTACACCGTATTCCATAGAATGATGGCACCTCATCCGTAGTTCCTTCCACTCCGCTTCAACACTGTTTTGATTACAACCGTCGAATAGCGTAATAAAGAGTTATTATTCTTCAATGCTTAGGTGAATCCCGGTCTTTTTATGCCGCAGTTACTGCTGACCTTCAATGGCCTTGCCTCCACCTACTATCACGCCACGCTGAATTTGTTCGGTAAGTTTTGATTCACGCTCTTCCAGCTTCAATTCGTGTAGCGCTCCATATCTTCATGATGATTTTACACATTCACATAAGATTCTTCCTAGTCGTCACATCAGTATGCTAGTCGGTAGAGCCAACTATCTCGTTTTTCTGCTGAACGCGGCTTTTGGTGTCGCTTTACAGTATATGACCTCGTAGTATGGTAATTTAGGCCAGTTGGTCGACGAACTCTCATTGGTGTGGATCATTAATATGTTTCTCGTTGTCCACATACCAGTGATGAAATGGTTTCCGAAGAAATTCAGCAAACGACTGTAAGTCTACTCCACACACTAACTCATAAGGAATTTGAAACTGAACACGGATTTCAATGGAAAATTCAAGATGATGCCTGCCTAATAATTCTATGAAACGATTTGAATGCAGAGACCGTTGACGAACCTAATTTAAACATGTGTTTGTTAGTTCGGAAACACTGTCCTGTCGTCCACCACAAATAACGAATTTCAAATAGCTTGTAAAAAGTACTTCTACTTCGATACTTGCATGACCCGTCCTCACTGGTTCTTCCGGCCCCAGCACAATCGCCATTTTTTTTGAATTTAGTCCCGAGGTCAATCAGGTTAAAGTCTGCCCCAAGTCGTCACCACAACAGGCAGTCGCCGCCCGTTTGGATCAGAGGGAGATTTGTCACCATGCGCCTAGTTTGGTTCCACGACGGATCATGGCATTGATTTACACTTAAATGGGTTTTCTGGCAAAAACGCCAGACTTCTTCTCAGCTTGAGATATCGTACCAGGATAATGATCTCCACGTTGTACATCGCAGTCCAACACCCAGGAGCACCTCCCAGCCACGATGAGACGGTAAACCGTTGGGTGGAAAAGTAGTAAAAAGTACTTCGCATTATAAAATGGTAAATGGCTGTTAAAAAAGATTATATTAGATACACAACAAGCTATAAAAAAGAAAGCTTCTTTTCTTGAACATGTTACTCCGGAGTGTTCTCGTAATCGCAACACATCTTGTTGAGGAACGCGTCGTTGTACCACACGCCCTTTGTTTCTTGTTCCAAATCCGTTTTTTATAGAAAAAACAGAACGGCCTTCCTAGATCTTTCTGTCTCTGAAAGCGAATTAAAACCGTTAAAGCAAATTCCATGAAACGTCACCATCCGGATAGGGTAGTAGTCGTAAGGTGGAAATTTTCGTTTAGACGGACAGGATTTAATGACCACCACTTGTGACTACCTGGAAAAGCTCCCACTATGGAATACCAGTGGGCAACAAGGCCCTCAACCAGAAATAAACTGGGCGCAGCATTTCGAACACTATGCTCCCTTCCACGACGTTTTGCGACGAAAGCACAAATGAGGGGGCGAACAAATGTCGGGCTGTATAAGATGCCGTTAGGATCGTATTAAAGCAGCACACGGACGACATGCCATGAAGACTGCTTCGGTCATCATATTCTTCCAGATGCCAAAGTTTATATCAAATTCCATGTAATCGCTTCACGATGCGGAGGACCAACACTACTAGTTTGTTGAGTGGACGTTTGTCATTTGCAGAGGAAGCTCCGTTACTAAATATCGGTGACGGAAACGTTGGATCATTGGAACGAAGTCATGAACAACCACATATTCATCTGTAAATTTGTTGCTGGACACTTCAGTGCTAGATTAGGAAAGGAAAGAAAATTTGCAGTAGGGAATCTAGACAGGAATGGGAAGTATTTTTGAACTCCTGCCAACACCACGCCTATTCCACGGATTTTCACCTTTCCCGAAGAAGGGAAATAGCCGCTGAAGATGAGAGCTTCATAACGGCATGTCTCTTACTGAGATTGATCGCATTCTCACAAACAAAAGATAGTGCATCCTTGATACTCCCACTTCCTCAGTGCCATCATTTTGGACTGGCTTTGATCATTGTCTTCTTCATTTGATGACTGCACTCAGGCATAAGCTTTAAAAGAACCTGCTATCGCCCACGAAGAAGATAGTAAGTCTCTTATAACAGGAGCATTCTGGACGAAATTCTTTGCTCATATAACTGCTAGGTTAAGAAGGATTCAACGAAAAGATACAAGCTGCTTGTTGAAGGGCTCAGAACTTGCTTCAAATACGCTTCAGTTTTTCAAACAAAAAATTCGTATCGCTTTTGCAGCACAATTAAGGAAATGCCCGAGATAAGGGGAAAAGTGAAACTCGATCCTATTGCAACACACTTCAAAAGGAATGCTACGAAGTTCCAGCTGCAAAAGATCGCTGCAAAAAGATTTACGTCGGTGCAGGCAGAAAATGGGTGCGTGCAGCGCATTAGTTAGAGTTGCTCTGTAATAAACACGTGTTCTTTGGTTCAATCCCTTGTCCCGCGCTCATTAGGTCATCCATTCCTAGGGGTCAGGAAATTGGTGCAAGACTTCTGTGGGTGGATAGCAGCGCTGAATTGACAAATCGGTAGACCACCGCAAGTCATAGTATAGGACAGATGTGTACTCAATTACCTTTAGCGGTGCTCAATGAAGTCGAATGCATGGCGCATCACTCAGCGATTAATCAGCGCCGCAAGCTTCGTCGTTCTTCATGTATACAGGCAGAAAACGTTTGGAACAACTCGAAAATGAACCGATCTAAAAGATTACCGTCAAGACCTAAGCGAGTATAATTTCCCACCAGGAATCATGGGAGATGCCACTATTACTATCTAACACCACTATGTGGAACTGATGATGGACGAGTTCTGCACCAGGCTTTTCCATTCCATAATTGTCGTCCTTTGGATGGCCCGTCTTCACCAATTGTGCGGACTCCAGTACATTTGTCACTGTTTTCTTTCCCTCGAAATCGTCGTCCATAGTGGTGATTTTATTTGAGCATGGTTGCGCGTGCGATTCTCATACTATGATCTGTAAAACAACTGCAGCTGTGAGTGCAGGTGTTTGACTTTGGTTCGGAATACGCTCGCCTAACGTGTTGGTGGTTGTTCCAAGTGACCAATAGATCCGTGGCTTCCACTCTATAGTTCTTAACTTCCTTCTGTAGGCTGTTGTTCCGATTTTATGAACGGCCCATCTATGTTTCGCTATCGATGTATATTCTCCTGGATCTCGGAGACATCACAGATTTCGAAGATCAGAGCTTCGCATTCCGGCTCGTTATTGAGAGTGGTGGTTATATCTCAGAAGACATTATTCAAGCGCCCTGTGAGTAGTGCGCAGTATTCTGACGTGGTTGAGGCATCGGCCCACATCTTTACCGTATAACGGAGAGCAAGGAGGACTGTTGAACCGAATACATGAGGGTGGAGTTCTGTGTTCGTTGGCTGGTCGGTGGCTTCCTTGAGCGGCTCGAAAGCGGCTCATGCTCTAGAAATACGAAGAGTTAACGCCTCCAACGGCAAGGAAATGGGAGGTGATATTATCTGGTTCTCGAGTTACTTCTCCTTTCATGCTTTCCTGCCACAGCTCAAGCTTCAGAGTGTAAAATTTCACGCACTTTTTCACTAGCGGGAATTTCCTGGTCCGAGACAATGACTGTGGAACGGAGAAGACTTGTGTAGAACATTTCCGTTATAAATATAGTCGAGGAGGTCCCTACGGTACTTCTTCAGACTGAACCGTATTTGAGCTACCTCAAATGAATTTCTATGTCTCTACCGATGTAAACCCTCCTGCAAAGATCTTCTACAGTTGGCAATTATTAGGAGCCGTGTTAGGTGTGTTATAATAGGATCAAGCCTCAGTGTCCTTCTCTTTCCAAGCAACTCCTTAATGGTAATGGAAATTCGGTCTGAACTTCTTGTTTGAGGAACTGAATTTTGTTTGAGGAATTGAAGCGAGTTTGGTACATGTTTTAAGTCTTTCGACAAGAAGCTTTTGTCCTTGGTCGAGTCTTCATTTATATGTGGGTAATATGAAGAGAGAATTTTATTGAGAAAGCTGAGTTCTTCACCAACTTATGTTTAAATCGAATCTTCGCACAGGGAAGGTGGTGACATCCATGCACAGAATCCAGTTACCACTGAAGTGTCAAGGTCGCAGAGTTTTCTGTTTGTGAGAATATGATCGATCCCTGCACAAGTCGTGGCGTTAGTAGGCTCCCATGTACATCGGCTAATTTCTCTCTTCTTAAAGAATGATTTTCATCGAAGAGACGTGCTACCAACAGGACTCCTACAGGACATTTCCCATTGTCAGTTCGTTCTCGTCTTCCGAATTTCTCTATCTTGTAGTCATTTTCGCTGGCTGTACCTTACCTAACGTTGAAGTTTGCAATGACGAACTTATGGAAGGACTTTTCGTTGTGGATTACTTCCTCCGACTGGTTGTAAAATGCGTCCAGTTCGCTTTCACCTACTGTGCAAGTTGGTGAGTAACAGTTGATGACACTGACTTTCTTATGCCACGCAAATGGGGGGCGAAGAATGGCCAAGCGCGGTGACAGGGTTTCGTGCGAGATGACTAGATAGGAAATGGATGAGTGTATGGTAAAGCCAACGCCTCCGACATTTCGTTGCAGTAATTTTCCTCCACAAATAACAAGGGTTCCATTATCGAACTGGCGTATGTCACTCCTCCTGATTTCCTGTATGACGATTAAATGGAATTTGATGCGATCGGCAACCTCAAGAAGAGCTTAAAGGTCGATGTCCTCGAAGTCTGGCCAAAGCTTTCCTCAGCTCGCCAGCACCCCATGCCTTTCCCCCTCCCCTTGTGGATCAGAGGAAGATTTGCCACCATCCGACTAATTTGATACCAGGACGGCAACACTTTCTGGTATTGGTCTACTCTTACGTGGATTTCCGGATGAAAACGCCGGACTCCTTCATAGCTTGGGAGACCCTGCTGGGGAGATGAACCCACTATACATCGCAGTCGGACAACCACGATGAGGCAGTAAATCTTTCGGAAGACTCCACTGGTAAGATGGCAATAATTATTTGTTCATAGAATGTGGACATAAAATTCAACATGCAGTAGTAAATAGTGCGAAAATTGTCGTGAAAGCGTTTTCTCAGTAGGTCCGTAAAAATGCCATTAACTTCAGGACGATGTTTCGACGAACCGTTGTTATGTTGACGGCATTGTTTTCTGGTCTCTGCTTTCTTGAACCAGCCCTGAACGCCGTCGCCTTGATGCTGTTCTCCATACCAGCCGCCATCGTCATTCATTATGAAGGCACTCAGTTAGTTGAACGTGCCTAAATTATTAACGCACAAAACGTGTGAGAGATAAAGCTCTTTCTATCAATCGAATTAGCGGGTAATAAGGAAATGAAAGGAATGAGGGGCAACAAAGTGCCTGCTATCATTTATTCCAATACGTCCATAAAAACACAGGTTTAAATAAAAACCATCAGAAATGAAGGGAATTCCTCAATTAGCCGAAATTAGACCAGATATCCGACGTTTTCTTTTACACCGGATTCCTTGGTTACATCTCTGCAGTTTTCATGCAATAGTTGTTGTAACTTAAAAGCATGGAGACTTTGCTCAAGATACAGCCACAACGATGCTGAGATAATTGCAAAACTCAACTCCGGGCTGCACGTGTCTGCGGTGGGAACGAACACGCTATTACCCCTTCCGAGGGCTAACGCGTTCACCACTACACCATGCAGGTCCTTCGTTACGCCTGTCTCTCAGGCTAGTTCTATCGACAAGTGCCATCAGCAATCACCCGCCAACGGGATTGAACTGGGGAGCCCCATCGGCATTGAACCCACTTAAGCTGAGGCTGTAGCTGAAATCACAATGTAATCAATTTTTACTTACCGCCTATTTTTTTCATTGAAAGCTACAGTCCAGACACCTCGGTCCGGAGTTTTGCAAATATCTCAGCATCACTGTGGTTGTACTTGGCATAGCACCCTGCCATGAAAATTGTAGGAGGCAGAAAGTAAAAAGTGAACTTTGGTCAAAATAGTTTCTGTGAAAACAGCATAGGATGAGATCTCAGCTTTTCCCATAACTAGTGAATATCCTTGTAGCAATGCTGATGATTGGCCATAAGAGGATTTTCGATTTTTTTTTGATCATGGCTCATTCATTTCCATAAACATTCTATACAATATCATATGGCATATGGAACATGCAGAGAATAAGATGCCCATTCTGATGCGGTAGTTGCTCCTTCTCATATGATAGCCAGAGCGTTTGACTAAAGCAACTTTTCCTCCTACAATTTCCATAAATACTAACGCTGTTTCAAGAGACCGTCCTAACGGTTTACCATCCCATTGCTCCTGGGTGTCGGGCTGCGATGTGCAACGGCGGAATTCATTCCCCCAGCGAAGTCTCCCGAGCTGAGAAGGAGTCCAGCATTTCCATCTGGAAGCGCAGCTAACAGTAAACGAATACCACGATATACCATCGTCCTGGTATCAAACTAGTCGCGCGGTCGCAAATCCCCCTCTGATCCACGAGGGCAGCAACTTCCTGTGTTGGTAGCGACGTGGAGCAGACTTTGGCCAGGTTGACCTCGGGACTCCAGGGAACCACAATGCTAAGCCAGCAAAACTCTGAAAAATGCGTTTATGCTGGGCCCGCACAACCAGTGAGGACGGGCCATTCAATGGGTTTTTTGGATGCTTGAAAACGTTTGAAAGAAAAGATCACTTAAACACATTTTGTTTGCAATTACAAAACAGCGAGGTTATACTTCAAATTCTTTCAGCTCTGGAATCCCCGAAATCGAGAATTTCCCACGCCGAATACTCGGTCTATGGTTCACTTCGTTCATATTTTGGTTTGCTGACCGTCTACTGTGTGACTTATGGCTTTGGCTTGGTGATTATTCATTTTTTTCTCATTTCTTTCATTTCGAAGTCTTCGTTATGTTGAGAAGTACAGCTTTCGTGACTAAAAGACAGTGAAAAAAGAACATTAAGGTGCTCCTTATTTTCATGCACTTTTCCATCTTGTGGCCGGAGTTGCGGGATATACAATATTTGTAATGTTTTCCATGATCGATATCGAAGCAAGGAGTCCATTTCACAGGTAAACAGAACCTAGTAAGTTAAGCTGAGTGACAGAAGCTAATCTTCCCGTAATTGCTCTTTGCGTACTGACGATCTTCGTCATTCAAAGGCGTGTTTGTAGGATTTGTAGCCGCAAAAGTTGCTACTATTTCTAAGCTAATTTCTGGACTGCACAACTCATGTTTTCAAAACATTGTGAGGTAAACAGAGGAGTGAGTGCTTCTTAGAGCAGTGGTTAGTGATGCAGTCCACTAAAATTCCCACCAATTCAATGCATGGGGGAACACTTTAGAACGGCTATCTCCATGGCTGCAAGGAGAACCGACTCCAGCAGCATTCGATAACATTCATAAGGAGGCGAAATTCTCAAGCAGCAGCCGAAACAACCCCTAAACGTGCGAAAATCTTTGTCAATGATGAATCCGAGGAAAACGAATCGAATCCAGGAAGTGGTGGGATCCACACGGTAGCTGTGATGACGGGTGGTGAAAATAGAAAAATAATCATGGTATAACTATCAGAAAGGTTTGCTGAAGTCCTTCAAATACCCTCCATTCCGGAAAGTAAGCTAGAGTACCAAATTGGATTAAACGCTTTTCAATATGTGCAATCTGAATCACTACCTAGAAAGAAAAAAATCCGAACGCTCGGACATATTTAAGTATCCGCTCTGAAGCTGTACCTTTTTTTCCAGGTACACGGCAGCTGTACGATATTTTCCGGATAAAAGTGGATCGATATTATCCTTTCCTTACATTTCACTTCGTGAAAGGAGCGTCCAACAATAGTTCTTCAATAGAGCAGCATGTTGAGATGAAACACAAGGAAAACACTGACTCTAGAAAGTTCTTTTCCCTGACTTCTTTATTTATCCTCAGGATATAACACTTTTTCTCTACAACAGCAATCCCATACTGTTGTTGGCTTCATACTGGGCCCTACACTACACGATGTGAGAAAAACCTGCTCAATTAAGAAGAACTTTCTCGTATGGTTCTCTAGAAGCTATGCTTTTACACATACTCTCGTGGTAAGTAAATAAAATCGCTGAGGATAACGAACATTCTAGAGTAAAAATAATACATTTACGACCTCGTTTACTAGTTCCCTCATTCCAGACACCCCACATGATCGTACAGATCTCTCCCTCGGAGTGCTCCATGTCCAACCCACCTCNCCCCCCCCCCCCCCCCCCCCCCCCCCCCCCCCCCCCCCCAAGTCAACTGCCTTTGATTCTAAATTCTTTTCATCCCAACTTGTTCATGCAGTTGTGATATTCTAAGGGTTACCACCTTTTTTCCAGTTACATTCCACATGTGGAAAATACGTGAAGGTACTGCTTACGAATCATTGGGAAAGAGATATGGAATTTTTTTTCTATTCATACTACGCCTTGTGATTTATCGTCTTACAATTTCCTGATCTGTGCTTCATTACCTGTCCTCATTCCCAACTATTCACGAATTTGAGTACCGCTCTACAATTTTATCGATTGCTATTGTCTTCTTTATAACTTCATGAACAATTATAATCAAAAAATACGTTTCCTATTGCACTCCTGCCCCTATTCAACTTGATATTTTTACGTAGTCATGCTACGGAAAAATAAATATTGATATCTCTCTTACCTTACCACCGTACGCCTTAGGAAAAGACTACATAAAGACAGTAACGTTGACTATATGAAAATTTACGGCAGGTCATACAAAACAGACATTTAACAGTAACACGTATTCGACAGGAAAAATCCGCATGCGATGAAAATAGATCTCATATCGCCCAACACAAACAACGGCTTTGGTGCCCCATTAAAATTATTCGCCAAAAATAAATAAACCGCACACCATTAAGGACCGTTTGAAATATTAGTGAAATGTGGTATGGAACCACAAGAAATCTAGGTTTTGCCCTTAGTTCCTGCAACGGTATATGGCACGATCAAATTTCGGCTGAATGTTCGAATTTGTTCGGGGCCGCGTACTTCTTCATCAAGAAGTGGGAGTTTCGTAATATGAAAATCTTCGTATAAATCCGCGATCTGAAAAAAGAAGGACTTCGCAAAGTACTAAAACAGCCAGAAATTCATAAAGGCAGTAAAGTTTTATTAAGAACTAGAAAGGAAATTTGTATAGCTCGCATTTTCAAATATGCGATATAAATAAATGGACCATTGTAACAAAGGGCACACATTATGAATATTAACCCACTCTGACTCTTTCACTTCAACAGAAAGAATCAAAATGAGTTACTATCCATAATTATTTACATGGCCCACCCTCATATCCACTGTTCTCATCCAAGAACCTGCATTCGATTCCTCTCCTCGCATCCATCATCTGCGAAGGTGTTCAAACTTTGGTATATGGGTTCTACTGCTGCATAAGGATTCTCGTCTTCGCTATAAATGTCCTTGAATGCTGGTCGAGCGCAATTCCCGTAGAGTTTGGATGGACGTGCTAGAGGGTCCCCACGTGGAACTGAGGAAGTGAGATGATTGCAATCAAGACTGGTGCCAATTTCTCTAGTTGGTGTAAAGACAGGCTTTACGAGATGGGTGCGGGGTCGAACCAGCACCGTGATCCTAGTGAACGGTACATTACTACCACTGTTTTAACCACCTCTTTTATTCTTTAGTAAATAATGACTAGAACCTTAGTTATTAAAGCCAAAAAAACGTTGTGGGGATTATGCCCAGTACAATCTACGAACATGGTGCGAGGAAAATATACATACGAATTCGAAATACTGTGGTAAGGAAAAACTCCCCAAAACTAGCTCCGACATCAACACTAAATGACACAGGCTCCACGAGTGGGTCCTACTCCTATACACATTGACAGCACTAGTAATTCATATAATGCTGCAAGCCTAATTTTTTAAAGCATAGTTACCAGTGCTAGTACTCACTATTCATACAATAAATCGCATATTATCTTTACAAGCACGGTTTCTATAACCGACACAGAATATCAGAAACCTGTGCAAGAGTCGAAGAAGAAATGAAAGAAGCTTACCTGCCCGAGATATTTGGACTGTATGCGGAAACGGGCTTGACATTTCTTACATTGAATACATCCATCGTTTGTATCGGGAAACAGTAACTGATTCACGATGATGTTATGCGTGTCGATGCCATGAAAACAGGCAAGTAACAGGATTGAACACGACAAATGAACATTGTACACAGTGCTGAAGCAGAATAGGACATACCTGCTTGGTGAGTTCTTGAATTAGTCGCTCGGTCTCGTACAAGGACAAGAATTCCGCAATACACACGCACACGAATGTGGTCAGATCCTAAAAAGCTGGCTTTACCAAAAAAAAGTATTTTTGGCTGATAATCATGTAAACTTCAATTCACCGGATTTTTGAACTCTGCGTTCATGCGCTTGACTTGCTCAAGAGTCTCGTTAAATTTCCTCATTGTTTCTTCCAACGACAGCTCTCCCATTCCGAGCAATCCAGAAAGCTTAACTATGTACAAATAAATCGAATCGATAACCATACCATTAAATATCTTCTCCGTTCAATTCTACGAATTGATTAGCACTAGATTCTCTTACAAAACATGAAAACATGAGTCTTGGAACAGAGAAAAGACATGATAGATTCAAGGTTGTGCATGGAATCCATAGGAAGGAATCAAGAAGAACGTGGAAAATGGAAGAAATTGATAATATAAAAACAAAAATGTCAATTAAACGTGTTCGATCTTGACTGTACGTAAAGTTTCCGAGCTGAAAGAAATGTATGTACCACGAAATACCTGTCCGAGCATCGGTGCAAAAGAAGACTGAAGAGACAGGAATTTAGTGAAAGCTTTTTCCAGAATCACGGGGAACTGCAGCAAACGTAATGTGTGGCCGGTTGGAGCTGTGTCGAACACGACAACGTCAAAATCAAGAGAATTGATTAACCTAAATCGCGTTGAACACTTTACAAAGCCAAAAAAGCAGTACAATTCCTGATGACAGATCAGAGTTCGTGAGCTACGAAATATTGTAGAAAGACAAGTAAATGCGCAAACCTCCAGACCAAGGTTTCTCCAGAACCTAATATAATTGCGCTTCGAACCTATGCTAAGGGGTAATTGGTACTGCTCAGTTTTAAAAGTTACTACTTCTGTTCGAAACAAGGACTACAGTACCTAGTGCTGTGTTAGTAATAACTTGAGTATCTATAAGTTAGTGGCCGCGTGTAGCGCAGTGGTCGAAGGCGCCCTGCAACACACACGGGATCGATCCCCATGCCTCTGGCTCACCAGGCCTTCCGTACCTTAAGGGTTGACAAATTGGTACCAGAATTGTCTGGGAGGATAGCAGCACTGGCTCGATACAACGGTAGGCCACCACGAGTTACTGTAAAGGCCAGATCAGTCACCTCCACGATGGTTAATGAAGTCGAATGCATGGCGTATCTCTTGAGAATTCAGCAAAGCCGAGAGCTTTATCCCTCATTTTATTATCATCTAGACGTAACTGCTTTCGTTTCAACAACAGAAGCATCAAACGTAAAAAAAACCAGTACTAAACTCTTCAAATGTTAATAAACACAAGCAGGACGTATAAAAAAGCCTACTTTTTTAGTAAGCTAAAACTTAGAACAACTTGACGAGATGCGAATGCGGTTAGAATGACTTACTTAAGCATTTCAGCGAAGCTCATCGCCTCATCGATTCCAGGCATACCACCAATCAAATTCTGAAGGACCTCCCGTCCCATTGACGCTATGCTACCTACAGAATGAATATCAAAAACAGGGAATTGCATAACGAAAAAAAGTACGAGAAACCATTATCATTCGCCAGCTGTTCCAACCCCGGTAGTGCAGAACCTTCAACGGCGTTCGAATCGACCTCCTAAAAAGCGCATACTATGTGTATTTGTCCCTAAAACCGACACTAAAAGAAGAACTTCACCATGGCGAAAAGGTTTTCAAATCCGGACACCTTCTGCGGAGTCTTTGTGAATTTCTGACTAAAGGCATCTGAAATATTGTGAGCAGGGTCGGTGGAAATCAACAACACTCTGCTCCTTCTGCTGGCCAGCTGAACAGCGAGTGAGCAGCTGAAACATAGTTCTGGACTGGAAACAGACATGATGTTTCGAAATAACCAAACACGAAAGACAGAAAACACGATGGCAAACCTGCACGTCGTCTTGCCGACACCACCCTTGCCTCCGACGAAGATCCACTTCAGCGTTGTCTGCTCAACGAGGTTCCTCACAGACGCCTCCAACTCATCGCCGGTCATCTCCGAGCACACCGTCAGCGGGCGGAGCCCGAAGTAGGGACGAAGCGCGCAGGCAATTCCAATTCCAGGGCACGGGAAACTCGTCCGAAACCGGTGACCAGTCGCCGCGCGCTTGCCAGATGTTCGCGAGAGTGTCGGTCCGTTCCTTCCTGCGGGACCCTTCCCATATGAAAGACTTTCGCATTTCTTTCAGTACTTCAGTACTACTTGACTGAATTCTTCGAAAAACCACGTCCTGTAATAGTCCCAAGTCTGTAATCAATAGGGGTTCGCTGTGCCCTAGTTTAGTAACGACGTGGATAGAAGTGAATCAGGGTTATATCTTTCTTCTGAAGAACTCCAGTTAAGACTAAGTTAATAATTGGTAGTTTGCACGCTTTCTCAATATAATGCCAATATCTGACACGATGTTTTGTTTTGTAAACGTTTTATTTACAGTTGTTGACAACTAAGACATCTAGTCGAAGTTGTGATTTTGAAAGAAGACTGTCCTCGTCGCCTTCACGTTTGAGTCGTCTACGTATTCAGGCTGTCTCACTTCTATGCCGGCTTCCCGTAGTAGCGCTTCTCTACTTGGGAAAGCATGCCTCAACTGGAACCAATTACATTTTAGGATATGTGATCTGCCTAAACATAGAATTTCTCCTTTTATTGATGTACTGTCTTGAATGAGATTCAACATCACTGATTCAAACCTACCCAGTTAGCCAGTAGCTTCTTCAGCCCCATAATGTTACCGGTGATGCGGGCTTTCCATGAACCAATGAACAACAGCGGGTATCAGTCAACATATGATATCACATGGATTGAGGGTAAAGATTCCGACCATCCGACCAAATACTCATCTACCTCATGCGCTAAAAGTATTGTCTGTGTCATAGAGCACTTGAGTCCGATGCTTGTGTTGTATCCAAGTTTAGTTGGATATTTTGATACTTGGACGGCCCGTCCTCACTGGTTGTGCGAACTCCAGCAAAAGTTCTATTTTTTCGGAGTTTTGCTGGTTTATCCATTTTGGTTTCCTGGAGTCCCAAGGTCAGCCTAGCCAAATTCTGCCCCAGGTCGTCACCACCACAGTAATTCGGCGCCCTTATAACCAGAGAGAGATTTTCCACCATGCGACTAATTTGATACCAGGACGTGGTGGATCCTGATTTTAGTTTACTCTTAGCTGGACTCCCTGGTGGAGACGCCTGACGGACTCTTCAGCTTGAGAAACCCTGGCGTGGAGGTGAATCTTCCACTGTTCATAGCAGCCCGGCACCCAAGAATACTTCCCAGGCACGATGAGGCGGCAAATCATTGAGAGGATCCAAGAAATCGGAATCCAAGTTTACTAGTTTACAATCACAATTTTAACTTATTCCTTACTACCTACTGTTTTTAATGGCAGGGTATATTGAGAAGTGTAACTTCAATGAGGTCGAAATATAGTTGCCAAACTCCGGACCGCAGTTTTCTGCTGTGAGGAACGAACGCGCTATTATCCCTTCCGGGGAGTAACGCGTTCACCATCACACCATGCGGGTCCTTCGTTTTACCTTTCTTTTAGCCGTGTTATTGAACTATCGTTGCTATCAGCAATCACCCGTCAACGGGATTGATTTGGGGAGGCCGAATCGGGTAGTGAACCCAGCTAAGCTGAAGCTGTAGTCGAAACTACAATGTTAACTTTCTATAGCTTAACTGGGTTCACGCGAGATTAGTATGGGTCTTCATTGTCGTTGTCGTTGTTGTTGGTGTCGTTGTTCGATGGCTGACATTTCGGCCATTTCGCCTTCCTCAGAGCCATGATGTTACGAGTGGGACTGAGAGTGAAGTTACGACTAAAGAAGATGCTTATAAGATCATATAAATAAATGTACCAACTGTCTATGCCGAGGTTTATAGAAAATCGATCTTTTAAGTTATTAACTGGGTTCATTGCCTATTTGGGCTTCCCAGATCAATCACGCCGACGGATGATTGCTGATGGCAGAGATCGATAGAACTAGCTGAAAGATAGACGAAACGAAGAACCCGCAAGCTGTGATGGTGAACGCGCTACTCCCCGGAAAAGACAATAGCGCGTTCATTCCCCACCGTAGGCACCTGCGGTCCGGAGTTTTACAAATATCTCAGCATCATTGAAGTTTAGTAGTTTGCTTTTGCTTACAGGTTACAAAAAATCACCTCACGAGAAATGGCGATGCTTCATCTACTGACTATCTAGGCGAAATGAATTTGGATACTTCTCTGAGCCGGCGATCTTCTAGATTGTCTGGGCAAGACGTTTGCGGTAGAGTGAGGTTTCTATTACTTCTACCTATTCGATTTCTTGGAGTTTCCTTCTACTCCGTCTTTTACTGTTAAGTCGATAATTTCCCTTGCACTGATCCCACAGGTGCAGTCATTTTATTTTTACTTACCACATCGGAGAAGGCCTGTCTTATTTATTGTAATTCAATGTGTGGGCCAGCGGCTTCCCTTTCATTTCAAAAGCAGTTGTTAATTCATGTTACCGATGCTTGCTTTGCCCCTCCCTGTTGATCTCATACATGGTAGATGCTAAATCTTGGTCATAAATAATTCGAAAAATGGATTTGTTCCAACATCTCTCCTGATTTGTTCGGTCCGCTCCAGATTGGTTGTCACTGTTGCTGGTACTGGTCGTGAAGCCTAAACTATTTGAGTGGTCCCAACTTCATCATCATTCTCCATTTCACTGGCACCGTGAGGTTCGTCTTCGGTTGTCTTTCTCTTCAGTTTATTCATCTGTTCATGGAGAGTTTATTGGATATGTCCAATGTGTTTAGCTCTTACATGATCCGAACAAAGAAAAATGCACTTTTTAGTTGGTTAAGTTGATCAAGTAAGATAAAACGATGCTTTGTTAGTGTGGAATGTCTTGGGAAACTAGACCAATGGTGACTTATGGGTGAAATGAAGACTACGAAGTCAGTGGAAGCTTTCGTAGCTACTCAGTGCCGTTGATGTCTCCTATAACAGCTAATATAATGTCTAACCAGAACGACTCTTGAAGAATGCCGTATTTTCAGATTCAGATACAACATTGCCTGCAGAATCGATGTTCATCAACATTTGTGTACCGTTTAACTGGTAGTTTGGTGTTGTCAGCACGATAGAGCTAGTGAACTTAGAGATCATTTATTTTACGTCCTAGGACTTCCTAACATCCAAGTAGCGTTTTCGACCAAGGTGCTCTCTGATTTAATCAGTTGAGTACCTCTTCGTGTAAAATGTTACGATACTTTGGTTAATACCTTTGTTCTGCTCATAAGCACTCATTCTATACTACGTAAGAACTTATTTTTGTCAAAATCTATTTACCGGTCACTGAGTCGTGGTGCATTAAGCAGGACCATTGGGCTCTCCAGTCTCAGAACACCATTGTTCTGCCAGTTGATCTATTGCATGCGACCACGGTAGTGGTATACTGTATGGAATTTAGATGCTTGTGGGGGTTTCCTTCGTACAATGGCAAGTTCTCTTCAAGTTGAAATCGATAACGAAAAATTGCTAGAATAATGAAAATGCAGGATATAAAGCCAGTAAGTGGGCGTATACTCGCTTGGATGGCTGGTCTTCAATGTTTGTCCGAGTCCCAGCATAATTTTCACTCTTTCGCCGTTTCACTGATTTAGTCATTGTGATTCCTTGGAATCCCGAGTTCAGCTTGGGCAGTCTTCCCAAGGTGGGCATGTGATGGTCTACTTCTGATAATTGTAATGCGAGGGCCACGTGAAAAGAACAGGAACTAGGCATTAACTTGTAGAGTGGGTATAACAAGATGAACGGCACCAGCAGGAGTTGTAGTTATTCCAACCTCTTCTCATTTCCTCCAGAAAAATCGCTAAAGTTTAGAAGAGGACTGGATTCTACTTCACAGAATGAAGCAATATCTTCCTACATCATTGATGACGTGAGAAAACTACCACGGTGAGTTCTTCTTGTAGGTTTTTTAAAAATCTATCTTCTTTCAACTGATGGGGAATGTAGAGCAGCTAGATTTAGATTACCTTCATATATGCACATTTATTCTCTGAGAACAGAAACAAAACAAAGGCATCGTGGAACGAAACATACCACAGAGTAAAACAGGAGTGAGGTGGAAGAAAAAAGGAAAGGATGACAGTAACATATACCTTTTTTTTCCCAAAATCAAAATCTACGGATTACCATAGTTTAAATGCAAAGCAAAGACATTTGAAAAACAAAGAACGAAGATGGTAAGCAACTGCAGGATGGTAATAACAACTGTCAAGCAATGATAATAATAATCGTGACTTGTGTAAAAAAATGAGAAGTCTATAAATCATAGATGAAGCAGGCGAAGGTACATGGGATTATATACCCACTTCAACCGTTTATTAATAAATGAAGCGGATTCTTGACATTACGAAGAATTAGCTTTAAAATTTAACTTAAAGTAAGATTAAAGCAAGCGTAGAAAGCCCAGAGAAAGGACATTATACAATATAACTTCATAAAAGTCCACTAGGAACATTCGAGGTTCAGAATATTACATAGCATCAAAATGGAATCTGTGGGACTGCTGCTGGCGTTCTACCCGATCTTCCTTCTTTTCTCGATAATGCAGGAACGCAACCACCATAAGAAGCATCACACATACAAGGGCGATCACTGCCAGACTCTAGAAATTTTGGAACAATTAACAGTAACAATAGAACCTCTCATTACAATCGATATATATATATATATATACATATGTATGTATACACATACATATACATGTATACCTGTACATTCATATATACACATTTATACATAATTCACTGTTTTCCTTCAATGAGCAAACACGACGTTGGTATTATAGAATTTATTAGCACACAGTAGTTGATGTTTCCACGGTTTCGCCTTTTTAACAGACTGCATGTCAATTTGACCTTCCCAGGCTCTGAAGAAGAAGAAACCATCGAAACGTAAGCTATTATGCGCTAATAAATTCTATGATACCAACCTCATGTTTGCTCATTAAAGGTAAATGGTGAATTATCAATCAATGTCGAGGTTACTAGAAAGTCGACCTTGGCATATATATATATATATACATATATATACATGTGTACATATATAATATATATGAGGCGGGTATGTGGCGCAGTGGTTGGAGACGCCACTGCGACACACGTGGAATCGATCCTCGCACCCATGGCCCACCAAGCCTTCCGGGGTCGGCAAATTGGTACGACTTGTCTGGAAGAGCAATTGCACTGGCTCGATACATCGGCAGGTCAGCGCGAGTCTTTGTAAAGGCCAGATATGCATTCAGTCACCTCCAAACGATGTTTAATGAAGTCGAATGCGTGGCACACCCCTCAGGGATTGATCAACGCCGAGAGCTCTATCCTTTATATATATTTGTATATATATAATATATATATATATATGACACAGCTTTGCATAGGGTTTATTGTCAGTCCAACGGTAACCTAAAGATAAATGAACAAATTTACTTAACATGTAGTATGAAATCTGCTACAGAAGTTTGACAGCACTATAGTTGGATGGTTGGTGGTTTTTTTGTCACACAAAAGAAATCGAATTGTTTCAAAAATATGGGAGGATATATAGAATGGGGGACGAAATATGGGGGACCGAATTACTCTCACGGATGCGTAGACCGCACGTGTTGAATTCAGTGCACACCATGCGCCCGAAAAAGAAATTAAGCTTGGTCGCGCACTGCATCTCGCACAAAGCCTGCATTAAAGCTGTCGACTGAACACAGAAAAGAGGTCTATGCAGGAAAACAAGCAAAGTGACAATCTAAAACGAGGTGGAAGTATAGAGTTTACGTTGGGAAAGTGGTGCATTGTGAATAAGCAGTGTGAACGTGGTAAATTGGCGAGCGTTTGGTTTGGTCTGACCAAAACTTTGATACGTAGCTCTGAATGCGATTATACCACATTTTAGACAAGAACAAGTCTTGTCTTTCCAAGGACCAGAAAACAGAGAGGAGAAAATGTGGAAGGAAGTCTTAGCGCTGTTAATGAAGGAATGGCTATTCTGTGATAAATCTTAAAGGTACTGCAGACTGAAGCTTCATATTTGAGCCATCAACAGATTCATATTACCAGCATGATATTAACGAACCTGAAGTATAAGTTGAGATGGAGTAACGTATAGTCTTGTGAGCCAATGTGAATTTCCCTCGGGCGGAATTACAATAATCCTCGAGTTCGGCACTAGTTGTTTCAGTGTATGCTGACGATAATTCAAAGAGTCGGAATAACGAGGTGCTCCAATGGTAAGCTGCAAACTGCTTATTGAAACCATACAAACTGGGATTAAGAGAAATGAGATTTCAAAACGAAAAACCTCATCCACAAAGTTTGGGCTACGTCCAAGACCAAAGAGAATATATGGAGGAGCTAAGGTCCGATGTGTAACTGCCGGAATTTGACATGCTGAACTTTTCAGTGATCCACCCCAGCCGTCCGACATACTAAAGCTTGCACAAGCGCCGCTCCAGCTAACACCAGAACCTGAAAGAACCAGAAACCTTTTCACCAGACACTGCTATGGGCGAGTGGAAGTTCTAGCTGAAGGTAGCATAAGCAAGGACTAAGAGGCTAAGAACAACTGTTCCTCAGTTTAATTTTATACTAATTCTTAGTCATCAAAGTAGCACACTTTGAAATGCTTTGAAGACGGCATCTATGTGTAAAACTAAGTCAGTCGTTAAATCGCCTTCGTTAAATATAGTTCAAGACAGAAACCTTGATAGATAGTAAGATTTTGATAAGGAAGGCTCTCTAGAAGCTGAATTACTGGGTAGGTGCCAAAGAAATGGCAGTTTCCGACGGTGAACTTGCAGAGATTTCAGTTCTGGACGGTAAATCACAGTAGCTAAGGTCGAATAAAAGATTACTAATCAAAGTAAAACCCATTAGAAACCACAAAGATTTGCAAACAACTGAAGGAAGTCTGCTTATTTTTCTTTCCTTCCTATATGAAATCCCTATTTCAGATGCATTTATAGATCGTCGTTGTCAAGTCTGCCCTCCGCCTCTTTTCTGCAATAAGAACGATCGGCATTGAGCGCAGGACTTGACCAAAACGAGCCTGCTCAACATTGTTCGACGCCGAAATGCACCAAAAGACGGTTATGACAACTTCCTGACTTAGAATCCGAGTCATCCACTATGAAATCTTGAACTTTGACTAAACCGTCAAAGAAGATAACCACTGTCAGGTAATCAACGGAAGACCGGCACATGTCAACGAACATTGCTCTAGGACGACATTCAATCACAAGTGGCATAATTAACGCTTTAGAAGGTGAACAAATTGGTTTACAAACTCTGCCTTACCCACCCACCATACTCATTTGGTCTTCTTTCAATCTTAGATTTTTAACAATCTCAACGAGTATTTGCTAAGAAAATCTCAGGCAATCAAACCATTGCTAGAATGCCTTCAACTATTTCGATGTGTCAGCAACTTTAGGATTTCAAGTTGCTGTAAGAGGTGCACTTAAAACTCGTCAGCAAAATGTGTGCATTCGAATAACTCTCATTTTGAATAATAAAGTACCTAGTTATAATAATCTGAATTTCCGCGTCCGAAAACGTAGTGAATTTCACACTAGCGAAATCATTTGACAGGATAAGATCGCTTCTCCACAGGACTTCAGTCGTAATAAGATAGAATGGAGTAAAACCTCACCTAATTCTTTCGAAGAAGGTGCACAACGTTTACCACAAATACTGGTGAACACGGTTACCTTGAGGAAAGTGACATCACCCTTATCATCGCACGGGATAAAGCTAAAAGATGTGAGGCACAGTTAAACAACATTGGAAGGAAACATGAGGAATCACGGAAAAGAATCATAACCTAAATTTTGTTTCTCCTTCATGGGATTTGTACTCTAGGAGAATGTCAAGATTACCGTCTTCCTAAAAAATAGACGGTGTAATTAAAAAGCACTCAATATTGTCATCACTAAGAGGAAGAATGTAGAATGATAGAATACCTTAAGATCAAAAAAGGAAGCCATCTTAGTCTCTCCTATAGCAACTTCCTTAGGCTGGATAAAAACACTTTTATTTATCTCGAACCTCCTGAATAATCTCACACAATAATGGCAGAGTAGGTTTTTTTTCTACAATTTCTGCAAAGAAATTAGGAAACCTCGTTCCATTCCTATCGCAGTTCGTACATGGGATATTGTCAATTACCTAAATAGGATAGACTGAATTACTCGAAAAAGAAAATGGTAAGCGAAAGGAACATAAGGACGAGCAAAACAAAGTTTATCAACTGCAACAAAAGAGAATCACTTTCCTTAATCTGACCAAGACTTTTCTTTTCGACCAGCGTTGCTAGAAGATCAGGATATCCATCAAGAGAAAAGTCTCCAACACGAAATAACACAAGGGTATCTTCATCAAATAGGATATCGAAGTTCTGCGAAAAAATTCAGAGAAGTAGAAGAAATAGTACGTAATTTATACAACGAAAGAGAAGAAAGAGGAAAATGTTGTTCAGTATTTAGTGGCCAAAACTTTAATTTTTGTAACAGAAAAGGTATGGAAATTGTGGTTTCCAATTTCAATTTCTTCCCAGCGGTCTACCGCCTCATTTTGGCTAGGAGGTGTTCTTGGGTGCCGGGCTGCGATGTACAGCGGGGGATTCTTCCTCACGGCAGAACCTCCCAAGCTGAGGAGTCCGCCGTTTCCATCAGGAAGCCCAGCTAAACAGTAAACCAATACCAGGATCCACCACTGTCCTGGTACCAGGCTAGTCGCATGGTGGCGAATCTCTCTCTGATCCACAAGAGCGGCGAGTGCCTGTGGTGTTGACGACGTAGGGCAGACAATGGCTAGGCTGACGTCGGGACTCCAGGGAACCACAATAGCCAAAGCAGCAAAACTCCAAAAAATGGAAGTTATTTTGGGGCCCGCATAAGCAGTGAGGACGGGCCAACCAATTATCCAAGCAAGTATTACGTTTTTATGAAGGGCTAAAACGAACCGTGCATGAAAGCATGTCGAAAAATTTACAAATCGCCGAAATAGCTTTATAAATACATAAAACTAAAAAAGATCTTACCTGCTGGTCGAAAGCATTTATACTCCACCCACGGTTGTACTGCCAGTTGGCGAATTCCGTCACCTAGAGGTAAAACACGTTCTTCAGCAATAAGATTAAAAGAATGTAGATTTATAGTCTGAACCTGCTTGCAATTATCTTTCCTGCATATAGGTACCAATAACTCGATTAATCCATCCGCGTCAAAATCTGCCGCCATAGGAGCTCCGACGTACTGGAACTAATGGAATTCTTTGGAAGAAAGGAAACAACCAGAGTTTTCAAAATAATACCTGGTGTTCTCCCGGAATCTGATTTATCAACGTAGGTGTTTCTCTCCATCCATTCTTAAATAGACCCCACATTCGTGGAGTTAAGAAATTCCCATTACGAGTCTTTGTTGTATCCATAAACACGATTTCTGCTAAGTTGTCACCTTAAGCAAAATTTAATCAGAAAAAAAAAACAAGAGCGGCTGTAAAGAGAAACTGAAAAATAAAGGAGCACCACAATAATTGTTTTCAAATATCAATTATTTTTTCAAATTTCAATTATTTGATGAAAAGAACCTGTTAAATCGACAAACAAATGCGGCACTCCAAGATAGGGGTCCAACGTGGTGAAGTCACTGAAACAGCAATAGCTCTTTCATCAGATTCATATGGATCATATACATCAACAAATATTTGGGTGTTCCCAAGTACGAACGGGAAAAGATAATTGCAATCGAAAGATGGAGTTCCACTACGGCTGAACGTTATGCAGTACATTGACCTATTCGAATAAAACCCGAGCACGTCATGCCAACCATTCCCGTCAACATCAATAGCCTAAACAAATGAGACATAAGAAGCAGATAAAGAAGATTGTCAATTACTACTCATAGAGCACATTTCTCAGCAGGTATGAAAAGCACGGTATAAGAACTCACTAGAGCTTGAGATGAAAGCACTGCCAATTTGTGTTCGACGAAACTGTCTCCGAGAGCCGAAGATATCCACACCGAATGGTGGTAATCGTTCCCTTTCTTTGTTGACACCAAAAGAAACATATGGGTAAGTCATGGAATAATAGCTTCCGTAAAAAGCGAGAAGACAAATTCAAAACCTGTTCACGATTTCAGCTTACCAAAGAAAAGTGCGTAATACCTATATACTAACTAGAACATCAAGTTTCGTATCGCCATTAAAGTCACCAAGTGAACACTCAACGATGTCTGTGCCAACGGAGAATGAAGTTGAGTCGGTGAAGACACCTTCTTCAAGCTAGAAAAGATAAACAGTGCAAGAACTATGCAAAACCCATACTGAGTGCACAAAATAACATGAATATAATGACGATCCAAAAAAATAAACTTCTGCAAACGTAATGGCGATCTTATAGTTCTGTCAAAACCATAGACTCAGTTACTTCTTCATAAACTAACTCACCACGTTAAGCAGTTCATCGTCTTGTAACAATATGGTTAGATTTGTCCCCCGTTGGACGATCACATCTGTATTCCGATCGCCATTAAAATCACCGAAACCGCATACCCGACCGAACTGCACCGGTACTTTCTTACCTAAGGACAGTTCAACTCATAGAAACTTCCACCATTTTTTGCAAAATCGAAAAACCTACCAAGACCGCAGCACATCTGAGCGAAGGAGAACCAGAAGAAGAACACCAACACTCTCATCATGACATCGCTAGAACGATAGAGATGTAAGCTAAACTAGTACTAGACAATGACAGGTATAAAAGGTCTCCATAACCATCCAGATTTAACAAGATGAATTCATATGTTTCATAGGGAACATATGAAACAATAACAACAAAATACAGTAACACTAGAAGCTAACAAACGCTTAGATCTATAAGGACGCTCAACCATGGAAAATATGCAAACATCCAGAGTTACAAGAGGACCTCATTACTCGCAGAGGTAGCAGTACGGTACTGAAATGTTACTAAATAACAGACAGATTCCACATAGGTACAATCACTTCAGAGTGATCTGACAAAACGTTCCTTAATCTTCGGAATCAGTTTTATATGGTCATCGGCGCATACAGCAACACACTTATCCAGCCGGTCATTAAACTGAAGCATCTGCAAAGACTGAAGCCTAAGAAGGAAAGGAGTATTGCCTATGGCAATAAAGACGCAACAAAGTATACCTGCGTCTCTGTGTATTTATTTACATCCGGGCCAAAATTCTGTACTAATTTATCATAGCATGTCATTGCACAGCGTGAGAGCTGGTCCTGGAAAGGACTGACGAGTACTTCATCACAAAAACCTCCAGTAATCGAACGACAAAAGACCTCCTGTTGAGGATTACAAAAATGTCCAGCTCACCTGCAAACCACCAAGCTCCTTTTCAAGGGTTCGTTGAGCATTCTTCATACCGCTATTACACTTTTCCACACAACTTTCGACTACTTCACGGCTACTGGACTTGTGGTCGCAACAGCTGAAATAAAAATACCGCACACAACTGACATGTGTTCTGGAAGCGAAGGGAAGAGAAAGGAAACAAAAGCGTACAGATAAGGAAACAAGAAGAGATAATGTACTTTGCCGAACACAAGAACATCTGCTTCTGCATCTCTCGCAGATGACTCCGGTCCATCTCGTCGATCATCGAATCCACGGCCGTTTTCACCTTCATCTGTGTCGCTTCCATCGTTGAACTCGACATCTTTGTCCTACCAGTCGAACTTCGTGGAACCCTGTAGGACGCGTTGACGTCTGAACAGTTGCCAGGTGATCGAATCGGACGAAGGACAGAAACATATGAGCCTCGGTAGATACGACGACTAAACTGACAGTACGTACTGATTTTCTGTTGATGTTATGAGTACAGTTCGTTGATGACAAGCATAATTGATGTCAACCTCTATGTAAAACGTAGTTTTCTTGTGGATTTTTGCGAAATCTTTCGAGAGTTAGCGATGAAAAGCTGTAGCAAAAACCAAACGACACACTGAGAAGGTGGATTTTGAGCTGTTATAGAAGCGCTGGAATGCACCTGCTGCAGATTCATCGTTCGTACGTACAGTCAACATGGGCAGGAACTGAATTCTCACAATTGAAAAACCACTGCTAGCCAACCGTATGTTTCCGTCGTCACAACTGCGCCCTAATCCGACGGCTGCGATTGAGAGTCGAGCACGGAATAAGCCGTCATGCATTTGGGTGAGGGCATGGAAAAGCACGAAGAGGGTGGAGTATGGAGGAATTGTAAGATATACGAAGTATGGAAAAGCCCTGGATCATAAAGTGATCCAAAGGTTGGCTCAAGCTTCGCCAAATCAAATGAGAAAATGCAATTCATGCAACCTGTCCTCGTTGACTAGTGTTCTTCTTATTGGATTCACTATAAAAAAGGGTAGATGAGAGTAAATCAGGAACCGTTAGAAAAGTCGAGTCGGCTCAGATTGCGTTGGATCGGCTGGAAACGATGACGTCATGCTGAACAAATCGAATGATTCGAAGCTGACAACTTGAGCGCCATCCATTCAGTTCTATGCTGGAACAAAACATTGTACCATGCAGAGAAGTATGCAGGACGCCACTCTTTTTTATTACCAGAACATTGTATCTGTAACCAAAATTACGGTACTAGCCATGCTTATATATATATCTATATACATATATCCGTTAATTTATGGCGCGTGTGGCGCAGCGGTCGGAGGCGCCCTGAAATACACACATGGAATCGATCCTTGCGCCCGTAGCCCAATAAGCTTTCCATTCCTCCGTGGTCGGCAAATTGGTACCAGACTTGTCTGGGAGGGTAGCATCACTGTCTCGATACATCGGTAGGCCACCACGAGTCACTGTGAAGACCAGATATGCATTCAATCACCTCCAAACGATGCCTAATGAAGTCGAGTGCATGGTGCACCCCTCAGCGATTGATCAACGCCGAGGGCTTTATACATTATCCTTTATATTTCTTCATTTATATTAATACTTATATCTGTACAATCGAGGCAATAGTGCAAAGTCTCTTCAATAAATATGTGTGCTCTGGCTTAGGCGTAGACTTAGGTTTAAGCTAAGATTTTCGACAACTTCGAGCAATTTTTCAGTAGTCAAAGAACTTCAGGGCTTGACAAATTTATAAAAGAACTTTTGCATTACCGCTCGGAGAGCATGCATAGCTTTTCTAAAGTGTTACTTTTCATTTTTGTTAATAGGCAAGTAGGATTCCTGTAGAGACTATGCTGTGTGGACCATATCCAAAGCCCACCTCTGGTCATAAGAGTCCTTCAGTAGTACCACCTGTCCCTATTCCTGACTTTAGTCGACTAGTAAATAGCTTTGAGAGCAGTGAAACGAATGCAGCCCTATCAGCGCTTGTCGACCAAGGAGTGGAGTCGTGCTTCTTACGAACTCTAGCTGGCTGCTACCGGAACTTCTGCACAAAAATCCAGCTTTTGCATCGACCTCTTACTATACCGCAGAAAAAGCGATTCGAGAAGGCGACATCACGTCGCCAAAGCTGCTTCCTCTCGCACTGCAGTGGGTAACGAAGTCATTCGATTGGGACGGGAAGACATACGTATTGATGGAAAGTTCTTATGCAGCTTTCGTTTTGTTCATGACGTCGTCTTTTCGAGCACTAATAATGAAGCATGGACGATTCTCAATGAACTGAACGAAACTGGAAGGAGAACTGGACATGAACCAAAAACGATCGAGTTCATAAGAATCCCGTGGTTCCAAAGTGAAAAAATTTAACTAGATAGGTTTCTGATTAAAGAAGCTTATTCTCACGTGTACTTTTGAGGTTTAAATAACATCGAGAACAACATAAAAGAGGAATTGCACAGAAGAAGAGCAGGACCGGCCACCTTCTGCCCTTTCGGGGAAGTCATAATTCAACTACCGTTCTATCGCTCTGTAAAACAGCAGAGATATAAGTTGATACTACGACGACGTCAAGAGCTCTGTACACCATCCACAGAGCGCTTGAACTATGTCCTCTGCAACTTAACCAGCACTCGTAACGTCTGACTGCAATGCCCAGCTCTTCGAAATCTGTACCATCTTCGGGATCCAGAAGAATATACATCGATAGAGAAACACTGATGAGCTGGTCATAAAAATATATTATATAATAAGAACAGCAGGTGATAGATGGACGAAAAAAGGAGTGGAGTGAACTCGAAAGGATGCAGGAGTTTCCTTGGATGAACACCTAAACGGTAGGCGAACGTGTTCATGGCCTACGTCAACCATCTGAATTTGAGTATAGAAACGATTTCCGCATAATAGAATATGCCTGTCGTTGTTCGACATGGAATACCACCACATTCGAAGCAGACCACTACAGTAGGTTAGGCTAGAAAAAAATGCATAGAGGGTTTCGAGGGGCCGGAACTGCGTGTGATGACAGGCCATCCATTATCGTCTTCATTTTATTTTAAATCAAATTTTTCTGAAAAAGGCGAAGGACTAATTGAAGAAACAGGAATGCAAAGTTTGAATGCTGCACCTTTTGCTGGTCCGCTAACATTTCTTTCAATTTTAAATTAGCTGCCATCTTCTTCTGCTCCAGTTCACGACTCTTCAGCGTAAGGAAACTTTTAGTCTTAAGACAACCGCAGTAAGGTGAACATCAACGATACACACGAAGTTCAACATCGTGCATAGCTGGGCGAAACGTTGTTCTTTTTCAACCGCAGTGCAATTCGAATTACGAGCTTCCTCCTTACTTGGATAATTGGACGACCCGTCTTCACCGGTTGTTCAGGCTCCAACTTATTTTTCATTTTTCGGAGTTTTGCTGGCTTAGCCATTGCGTTTCTTTGGAGTCCCGAGGTCAGCCTGGTCAAAGTATTCTCCAGGTCTTCACCACCATAAGCAGTCGTAGCCCTTGTGGATCAGAGGGAGATTTGCACCACGCGACTTTGATACCAGGACCGTGGTGGATCCTGGTATTGGTTTACTCTTAGGTAGGCTTCCTAATGGAAACGTCGGACTCCTTCTCAGCTTGGGAGACCTTGCTAGGGAGATGAATCCTCCTGTTGTAACATCGCAACCCAATACCCAAAAACACCTCCCAGCTACGATGAAGCGCCAAACCGATGGAAGGATTACGAGATTCTACCGAGAAAAATTAAATCTTATGGGTTCCGGAGAATCACAATTTAATTTTGCCACAGTAAAGAAAGCTGTATTTTGTTTGCAAATGCCTGCGCTCTAATTTCTTGTTCTGATTCCAATAAGCGATATATAAAATAACACGATGCTGATAAAAATGTTAATTCGGCTAACGTTTCGAAGTCTTCGTCTTCTTGAGAGCCAATGGCCCAAGTCAATGGTCCATAGTTGCGCATCTTCTCGATGTGGTGTCTTCGTCTTCGTATCGAATCAAATCTTCTTCATCTTCGATTCTTCCAGTGGATAATGTTTTTCAATGGTTGAGATATGCTTGTTCTAAGTCGAAAGCTCCAGTTGTTTCCAGTAATACGATCAGATGACAACCATAATAACCACATGGCTATATTTCACGTAATACCCTGCCATAAAAAATTAAAGGCAGTGAATAGAAAATTAAATATTGTTATTCCCAGTAACGTGTGAACAACACTAGTGGATCGATTCTGAGAAAGATTGTGGAAATTCCTATAGGGTATATGCTTGTCATACCCTCCGTTCTTGAGCTATAGAAAAGGCAAACATTTCAAGTCGCTTGCTCATCTCCATTAGGCAGACAGCTCAAGTTACAAATCGCACCTCTTATCGAGCTGTCAGTGGAAATTGCAATAGAATCAACACCTGTAAAGAGCATATGGTGAGCACCTCGTGCCGTGCCGAAGAAGAGTTGTTCACTGCAATTCAATTTCATTTTTTGCGTGCGAGAATAGCCCAGTGGGTTCTGCTCTCTCTAGGTACTCCTTAAGCATCATGTCTTTTCTTCTCCGATTTTCGTGAAGACCTCTGATAATCAGGTGGATGGTCCTCCTGTTGCTCGTTTGACATAACGAGGAATCCAGTCCCCAAAGGCTCTTGTTCATCGCCTGCCGTTCATACGCATTGCTTGTTCGGTCCCACCTCACTTTCAACAATTCGACTTGCACAAGTATGTCTTTTATCTCTAATAATTGACGCTTCCAGCATCGTCTATTCGAATGCGCGTTCTGGAATTTTTTTTACCAGGCTTACGTAGCGACCGCGCTTTTGATGCATGCGTTAGGGCAGGAAAAATCGAACAGCCGGAAACATAGGGATGAAGCCGGATGTCCTTTGTTCCCTTCACTAAATCCTCGATACTTTCAAAAGCTCCCCGAGCCGCTTGCTTTCTCTTGCTCAATTCTGGTGCTAACTCGTTAATAATGTTGATTTCCGGACCGAGATAGACTTAGCTGGAGCGTTTAGGATATTCATTCCGTTGAACATGAATGAGGGCTTCGTAACCAATCCTTTCCTCATGAATATTGTTTTCGTGAGATTTAGTCGAAGACCGATGTTTTCACAAGCGTTGTTAAGGTCGATTGGCATTCGTTCCTCGCTAATGTTTGGTGTTATAAGAACGATGTCATCAAAAAGCGATGATAATATGCCATCGAGACCGAGTGTTAGCCGATTTTTCACCGACGAAATAGTATGTCGGATTTCGGAAGGGAGAACAGGTGGGATGATATACCCATTCCCCTTTATTTCATGCAAGAGGGAGGATGTGGTCAT